GAATATCCATATGTTTTCACATCAGTACTGTAACACAGCGAAGCGAGATTAATAGATGCTAGAGATGACCTATACTGAAGAGGTAGATTGAGATTTGTATTAACTAGGTTCTGTCCAAAGTCATTAATATATAACCTTAAGCAAATCCGGAACACAATGGTAGAGAAAAATGGATCTTCATGAAAATATTTAGCATCAGAAAAATTTTGATATAATACAGACTTTGACCCAATGTCTTCATTAAATACTTTGTCAAGTACATAATTTATATTTAACAACTCAGATAGCACAGGTAAATTTGGAACATATACCTTTTTCCTGCCTTTCACTGGATCCAAAATCTATTCCACGGGCTCAATAATCCTAAATTTTTTCCCAGAAAAACCTAATCATCTTATGTTCAGTGTGTAATGAACCAGACTTTGACAAGAATTAATGTTGTCCTGGTGTATTTATTGTTTCTGTAATCAGCGTAAATTTTGATGGCTCTACATTAATATTGTGCTGTGAAAGTACTCATGCTATTGACTTCTTACTTAGTTCCCCAGTGAGAACGCTAGCCTCATAAAACCCATCAATTATTTCTAGGGGAGTAACTTTGACACATGGAGGAGTGTTTGCATGCTCCAAAAAAGGGATGCCAGGTTCCGCTGCAAACACACCTCATCACCATCTTCAAAATGTTCTAAAACATCTGAAATTGGCTCATCCAATCCAACCACATTTCTAATGCCCTGAAATTCATCTTCATTCACACTTTGATGGTTACGTACCAACCTTTGTCTTAAGTCTGTAATGCAAGCAGAACTATGATAGCAACATGTGCAGTGAAAGTTAAATATACATTTGAACACAATGAGCAATCCTAATAAGGGCATTTCACAATTTCTTTATTGTTCACATGGCTACGTAAATGTGATTAATACTGCTGAAGATTACAAGATTCTAAAAAGCTACACAGTTCACAGAGTACTTGAGAAGCCACTGGATCTCTCCCCCACAGTGGACCATGTTGCCTAAATAGATGAGTCTTGAGGTCAATTAGCCTTCTGAAGGTGCAGAGTCACTATAAATACAGGAGAAGAAGCAAAAGCAGCTGTAGTGTCCATGTTTTATTAAAGTGTAATGCCTTTTGATGATGCGCTGATTCCACTTCATTAACACAGTATTATCCTCCAGAGATAGTCTGCAAAATATAATTAACAAGCATCTGCACTGACACAATTCAATGTATAAAAATGAACTGTGTTCCTAGTAATATTGTGGAAAACCTTAGAAATATTCAAAATATTAACACGAATTATGACACTGAGGTGTCTTAGGCTGCATCCACACGGCAAGTGTTGAACCGCATGGCGCAGGCAAAAAGTTCATATTTTTTGTGTTCACACCGCCAAAGGCAAACTGCCTGGTGCCTGCGAAAGGCCTGGACGAGTGAATACTACGTCACAAAAGAACACTTGCCATGATGATTGTAAAGTGTTTTTCGGTGTGAAACAAAATGAGTTATGTATAGTGATTTTAAGATGACATTAAATAATTTGAGGTACTGGGACACTGCAGTTCTTAGTTTGTCCTCCATGTTGTTAAGTGGTTTTGTTTCCAAGTCGCCGAACCTACCAGTCCCAAACCGAAGATGATATGTGACTGGATGCCGTTTTGCTAGAGGTTAGCGAACTAGGTGAAAGTTCAATTGATTTGAACTTTGATTAGTGCGGCGAAGCAGCAAAAACCATGTGGTGCTGCGCCTGTGGAGGGTGGGGCCACTATCCCCATTGACATACAATGGTGCAAAAAATTCACCACTTGCCGTATGGACACAGCCTTACTTTCAAATTATAGTGCTATTTTCAGCCACCTATTTGACGGTCTTCATTTGCAAGCTTGCCCTCATCTAAAGTGGATCCTGCTCTCTGGGTGTAGAATCCCACCATATTTCCTGCCAGAAACATTAAAATTAGCTATATAAACAATACAATAAAAAACAATAAGTTAAAATCATTAAATCTCATTATTTTTTGCACCCACATCTGCACTCACACTGTAGGCCTAACTGAGCAGTTACAGTAGGTAGAGCTAGAACTACAGTCACTATAAGCTAGACTGAACAAGTTTGTCTATACTTGAATATTAAGAGTGAGTCTGAGTTCTGCACATCTGCTGGAAGCCACAGCTGTGGATCTCTGTAAGAAAATGCTCTGCAGCCTGTTGTAGTTCTTTCTACTCTAGATTGTAATAGATGCTATGCTCCTTGAGATTGATGCAGGCAAGGTGGGTTGTAAGAGACCAGTAGATATGTAAGAATTTATGGTGCAAGGCCATTCAGTGCTTTATAAGTTACTAGCAATATTTTGCAATCAATCTGAGACTTAACTTTAAGTCAGGCATGGAGCATAACACAGGGCTCATATGATCAAATGTTTTAGTTTTTGTAAGAAGTCCAGCTGCTGTATTTTGTACCAGCTGAAGTTTATTTAAGGATCCAGATGGACAACCAGAGCATTACAGTAGTCCAGACTGGAAGTTATAAAGGCATGTATTAATTTTTCTGCATCATGGAGGGAGAGCACCTTCCAAAGCTTGGCTAAGTTCCATAGGTGGTAGAAAGCAGCTCTAGTAATACTTCTTATGTATCAAAACATAGATTTGAATCAAACAGGACACCAAGATCTCTGACCACTCTGTTAGGCTGAGTAGAAACACCACCAAGGTTGATGTTGTAAAACTTTTTTTGTGCAGTCTGAGGATCAACTAGCAGTATTTCTGTTTTTTCATTGTTTAACATAAAGACATTTTTTTGCCATCCACTGGATGTCTGGTAGACAGTCTTCGAACTAAGAGCTGGGATTAACAGATGGTTTAAGAGATATGCATAACTGTGTATCATCAGCATAACAAAAACCAACACCATAATTTCTAATAATGCTACCAAGTGGTACCATATATAAAGTGCATAGTAGCAGGCCCAGCATTGATCCCTGTGGGGCACTTTATTTAACTTTAGTGGGCTTGGAAGATTCATTGTTCACATGAACAAACTGATAATGATAAGTTAAATAGCAGTGACATCAAGAGAGAGCTGTCCTCTTAATGTCAGCCACAGATTCTAGCCAGTCCAAGAGAATATTATGGTTCGCAGTATTGAATGCTGCAGTTAGATCGAGTACCACCAATAAGGATAAACAGTCAGGGTCAGAAGCCATAAGAAAATCATTCATTACTTTTACTAGGGTTGTTTCTGTGCTATGATTTGGTCTGAAGCCAGACAGATATACAGTAATTCATTAGCATTATTTTTCTGTAGGAAGGAAGACAACTGATGAACAACAACTTTTTGTAGGATCTTTGAAATGAAAGAAATATTTGAGGTCTATAATTTCATAAATCACTAGTTTCAGCATTTGATTTCTTGAAAACAGGTCCATTTTGAAAGGTTTTGGATCATATCCTAGCCTAAGAGATGACTTTAGCTGGTTTAACAAGGTAGCGCTAATCAGTTGTTGCATGAGTAGGCCCGACTACATTCTGATGCACACCACCAGACCCAAGAATAGCAGCAAACGCTGTTGTTAAAGGATCACTGTCATTCTCCATGTGAATGATTGTCACCAACAATCATTCTCTGTAGGTGAGAGTAAGCTGGCTGTGAAGGGCAGCCACCCACTGGGAGCGTTACTCCAGGACCCGCAGACGTGCCGAGACCAGGCATGAACCGTCAACTTTCTGATCAGGGATGTATCGGCTACTTTGTTGACAGTTTTGTGTATATATGACTGCTTTATATTGATATTCCAGTTTTAGATGGAGAACCTTACAGACAGTATGATGTAAATAACCCTGTTCTGATGTTCATCCCAGCAGTCCTATTTACAGTTAGATATGTGGGACTCTGTTGAGGGTGTCATATGGTAGTTTGATCAGGGTGACCCTCTTTATAGTTTTATACTGATAATCCCACTTTCAGCTGGACAGATGTTTACTCAGTGATTAGAGCCGTGTTATTGAAAGTTTTACTTTGCAGTCATTGACAGTTTGATGTTGAACATTTTTATTTAATCTGAATAATCCCATCAACACTCTGGTCTGGGCAGTGCATTTGAGAGGTTAATATGAAGTATATGCTGGGTAGTTTGTATTGGGTGAGCCCATAGACAGTTTCACGTGATTATGAATGCTTCTTTGTTTTTCAAATGAGAATTCTCCCCAGAATATTTGTAATTTGGCAGAAATGCAACAGCATGCAAAAGAGCGAGAGGGAAATTAGTTGAGGGAAAATGGGTATGAAGACATGTTTGGGCCACTCAATGCACAATAACATTGCATGGACTACAGATAAAAGTTGAGAAGCCACTGTGCATCTGTAGTATTCAATAACAAGATGATTCCAGTTTTGTGGAAAAAAGTTTATCCTCACATCTTGTGTTTGGTTCTGTTTCTCACTGCCATTTTCTTACCTTACATTCCCCTTCAGAATAATCTCATACAGCCATTAATGAAGTAGTCCTACAGCTTAGAAAAATACATTTAAAAAATAAAAAAAGAAGCTGCCCTGTTTGCCCTCAGTGATGGATCTGATTTCTGAGCTTTTAAGGATTCATTCCCACCTGCCCATCTTTTGCACTACCTTACTGATAAGCTGTCTTTGTTCTGCCCTCTTCTCCGATTCCTTGTCTCTTCCCTCATTTCTCAGTTCAGAGATAAGTCTTTCAGCAGCATTTCCTCCCACTGCCCTTCATCAGTTTCCACATCCGCAATGTTTCTCATTGTTTAGTGGTATCGGCCTTGAGTAAAGAGCTGAAAATAACTAGTTCAGCAAGCTTTAATAGATTATTGCTGAAGCATGAAGTGGATATGAGGGGCTATTATGAATCCCTGTTGATCATTTGATCCTTAAATCTCACATGAAAATTTGTTAAACAGCATTTTAATAATGCACTTTGACTTGTGGAATTTGGCTTTGACAGTGAGGTGTTTTGAAAGCCAAGGAGACACTGAGTGACATATACTGGCTAGACTTATAATAAAATTAAAATGATACAGAAAAGATTAGCATGGCCCCTGTGCATGGATGTGAAAAATTATATATAGCGATGGAGTGTGGATCATCTGGACAAGTTCCTAACTCTGGTAACTCTCAATAGCCTGGTGAGTTAAAGAGAATCTGTGCCAGGTAATACCAAAATAAGATAGTGGAGCTCCATATGATATGTAAAAATCTGTCTCCCTCAGAGATGCGCCGGTATTTTCTGGTGCCGTGGGGCGTCATGTATAAACGGTGCATACGCACGAAAATGTTGCGTACGGCCGTTTCCACACTCACGTCGAGATGTATAAAAACGAAACTTGGCGTACCGCTACGCACATTCTCACGGCAGCTCCAAACATGGCATATGCAAATTTCTGCTTGGTTTTGTGAACGGACGGCACTCAGTGGGAAGTCATTGCTACTGTGGTTTACCTTTTTAAACTCACAATCATGACGCTGACTTTATCAAATACACTGACATTAATTGTATGTTGTTTACAAATGTACGGCACCTGATTTTTAATCGATTTGTAACAATAAAACGGTGCAGAAAATGACCGAACTATTACAACTACCATGGCAGCTCTTGCGTTATTGGAAGACATAGCTTATGGAAGAATTAGAAGAGAGGGTGTATTCAGGGATCATATACTGATTTTCTGGCCCATGATGATGACTGGCTTCTAAGTCGATTAAGATTTCCAAGAGAAATCCTTTTGGAGCTGTGTGCTAAACTGGGGCCATCATTACAAAAGCAGACGATGAGCAATTGCGCTATACCTGTTCCTTTACAAGTTCTGTCCACTCGCGGGTTCTTAGCCACAGGTGCTTTTCAGCGAGAACTTGCAGACCAATCGGGTATTTCTCAGTCAACACTGAGTCGCGCCATGCCGGCTGTATGGGACAGCATAATTTGCTTGTCACCCAGATATATAAAATTTCCTTACACTGTGGTTGAACAGGCAAATATTAAAGCGCAATTTGCAGCGATGTCCGGTTTTCCCAACATAGTCGAAGCTATCAACTGCACGCACATTGCTATAAAGTCACCTTCAGAGAACGAATTTGCTTATGCTTATGTAAATAGAAAGCACTTTCACTCTATTAATGTACTATATTAATGCATTGGGGGCACCTCTTCTACTAGAGTCTGTAAGAATAAACGAAAGTAACACCGCATCTGTGCCCTACGTGTTATTCATAAACATTCAAGTAATTCAAACAAGTATGGTACGAGAAAAACTCACCTGCGATGACATCGACGTCCCCCTCCTCCGATAAAAGTGTCCCCAATCATCGCAGCAACTAGTTGCTCAAAGGGTGTGAGACCGGGAATTCCGCTACCTCCGCCTGTGCTGTTACGGTGAGCAGCCACTCGTTTTTTCACATCAATTTTAATGCCCGACCACTTCTTTTTAATTTCGGCCACCGTGCGAATTTCGGAACCAACACTTTTAACTGACTCCGCCACGCTGTGCCACTCCGTCAACTTTCGTTTATTGCTGATGCCACTTATACCACCAAATAATATCACTTTTCTTTTCTCGATTTCTGCTAACATGACCTCCACTTCGCACTCGCTGAAATACTTCTTTTTCCCTCATGGTTTATCCATTGTTGTTTAAGAAAAACATAGAACAAAGTGGGCATTTATACAGATTTACATGTGCAAATACACATAATTATGGGCAGGTTGGGGGGGTGACTGTGGGCTTGTTCACGTACGTAAAATTTCACTCTCATTCGGATTTATAAAGGGAATGTGCATATATCTGTGCTTACGCACAGTTTTATGCATCTGGATTTTTTCTTGCTTATGCACATTCCTAGTTTTGTCCGTACGCCATGTTTTAGTGTGAATTCTACGCACGTCGTTATGCATGAGGCCCCTGGTCATCTAAAGGTCATTCATAAGGGCTTTTCAGCATGCAACTAAGAACCACACAAACAGCTGCAATACTCTGTTTAGTTCATGAGGCATAAACCATAAGACCTTGTTCACAGCTGTGAATAAATGCAGCACAAAAAGGATACAGAGAAGCAAGTATGCTACTTTGGCAGCATTTTGGAGATGAACTGTATATAGATAAATGATTCTAACAAATATGAGTGCTGTCACTTCAGAACGTTTTAAACATAGAGATTTGATATTGTAGAACAGTGAGGAAGCACAACCACTTTTGAGGCCATTTATTGATTGGCAAACCCAAGAAGGCAGCATGTGGCTCAGCAGATTAGGCCTGTGTGGAAGGTCACTGATTTAAATGCCAGAATAATCACATCTATGTTGGATCCTAGAGCAAGGCATTTAATCCCCCGAAATGCTACAGGAGCACTAAATAAATGACTGACCCTGCTCTCTGACTTCAGGCCTAGGGTTATAATAAAGTAATGAGTGAGTGAATGTGAACGAATGTTACATGTACACGTATAAAACACTTTTCAAAATACCCAAAGCGCTTTACAGAACCAATGAGAAACCACTTCGACCACCACCAATGTTTAGCACCCGCTTGGATGATGCGTCGGCAGCCATTCTGAGCTTATGGTTCTTGAATTCAGAAAATAAATTACAATTAAAATTCAAATTTAATTTGTCAGAAGCATCATTATACACAGTACAACCTGCAGTGAAATGCTTATTGCAATACTCCGAGTAAATATGGGTAAAAACAATTTAAAACTATACAAAAAACAATAGAAAGAGATTCGATATACTGTAGTACCGTCTATACTACACTGCCCGTCCAAAAAAAAGTCGCCATTTGAATTTTTTGTTGGGCCGCCTTTAGCTTTGATTATGGCGCATATTTGTCATGGCATTGTTTCCACAAGCTTATGCAACATCTCATCCTTTATTTTCATCCAGATTTGCATTCATTTCTCACCAAGATCCTGTATTGACAAGTGAGTTGAACCACTCCATAAAGCCTCCCTCATCACATCCCAAAGACTTTCAATGAGGTTAAGGTCACAACTCTGTGGTGACCAAGTCACGCGTGAAAATGATTCCTCATGCTCCTTGAACCACTCTTTGACAATTTGAACCCATTGAATCTTGGCATTCTTGTC